AAAAGAAAGAGTAAATTATTCGCCACATTTAAGTCTGTCTCTTATACACATCTAGATGTGTATAAGAGACAGATTATTTTAGTTTTAATTTAATTTCAATTTATGTAGATCAAAAATTAATTTAAAATTTATGGATTATTTAAACAATTTTAATTCCCTTATATCATATCTTAAAAAAAAAATTGTTTGACATCTATCAAATTAACTTCTGCGACTTTTTAGTAACCTCATTTTCAAGTAATGTCTGAAGAACAAAATTTTGAAATTTCAAAACGCGTACTTTTTGTCTTTTTAGAACAACTTCAAAGCGCAATCATGTGTATAAATAACAGTAACGAAAAAAACTATTTAATATATTAAAATTGGTAAACAAATAAAATTTTACTAGGGATATTATAAACGAACTGCAGCGTTAGTGTTTGTAGAACGTAAATTTTGTGGTTAATGCAATTAATAGTTAAAAATATTAAAGTAAGAGAAAAAAAACAAATTTAAGGTAGCGGGGCCATTGCAAATTTACAAGTTGTTCCATACATAGGCAGAAACTTTTAGATATATGTATATATAATATTTGTATAATATATTGCTTTTGTTGTTGTTTTTTTTTCTAATTTATTTACACAATTCTTTTGGTTGCACGCATTCAACGGCGGCGCGCTGTTGCACTGGCACAATGTGTGTTTTTGTTTTTGTTGTTTAACTGCTTGAAATCTAAAGAAACGGTGATACCAAATAATAACAAAAAACAGCTTTTTCATTTTTTATTTTTGTAATATTGTGCATCAAATCGTTTATTTCAATCAAGTTCTCATTTTTGGTTGTCATCAGCATTATGCATATATAAGTATGTATATTCTACAAATGTATTCGGTAATTTTCACTAAACTGCATTTTCAATATGTTTATAATATTTGTAAATATTTTATTTTTAAAATATATATTTTCTTTTTAATATCGTATCAAATATACATTTGCTTTGCATATATTAAAGGTTAGTTGTTGTTTTTATGATACTCTAGACATGTGCCGTACGCACTTTGTGTTTCATTTTCATTAAAGTGGGTTTAGGCTTTCACGCAAGTGAGATTAGACATTATCGTAAATGATATCGTAGATCAGGTTGGGCTTGATTTCTGAGCATTGTGGCTACTGCATGGAACTATGCTGTTCGAGTGACTAGAATATGTGAAATATGACTTGGAATATGTTTGTCATACAAACTTATTTTGTGGACATTTTCGAATTTGACATTTTTACGATTTTAAATTTTAAGATTGAAAACAATTTGAAATGAAATTTGAGCTCACACGAAGAATTAAACAGAGAAGGTAGTTTTAATTTAACGGTTCTGATGAGTGATTTTTAAAATAACAACAGATTGTTTTCGAAAAAATTCAAAAATTTTAAGTTTCGAAAAAGTTTGCAATTTCGAAAAAATCAAAATTTTAATATATTGAAAAATTCAAAAATTTAAATTTCAAAAAAATCGAAAATTTTTAATTTCACAATTTTGAAAAAAGAGATCTTGAAAACAATTTAAAATGAAATTGGAATTCGCACGTAGAATTAGTCAGAATAAGTAGTTTGAAATTGTAAAAAGATTGCTTCGAAAAAATTGTTTTTAAATTAACAGATAACGGCATAATTTCCAAACTTACATAATTCAATTTCGAAACTTTCAAAACAAAAAAAAAACAAATTTCGTAAAAGAAGTTTCGGAAATGGCAAATTTTACCAAAATTTTCAAAGTTTTGAAAATTTTTAATAAGAAATCTTTCGAAAAAATTGTTTTAGAAATAACAAATTGAATCGCTAATTAGAAGAAAAAAAGTTGGTTTTCCAGAGATTTCTGCACATTTTAGGTAAATTTAAAGGTTCTTTGTGAGCGATTTTTATAAGAAAAAACAAATAATTTTTGAAAAAAATCAAATTTTTAAATTTTATAAAAAATTTACAATT